AGTCGAATAAGAAAACCATGCAGATGGAAGGAGACATAAGCGATGGCGAGGAAGAGCCGCAATTTGCTGAGATGTCCTCGCCCTACGAGGCGCTCAGGGCAGAGTTCCAGCCCAACCTGGGCGACACCAAGACGCCCAAGTTGGAACCAGTCACTCCCGGCAAGGGTCAAACACTGCCAGATATGAGCGGCTTCGACTCTTCACCCTTCATGCAGCCAACAGCCACAAAACAACAATCATACATCAACCAGGACCCGTTGCTGCACCGCGTTCTTGACAAAACATACCGTGTGCAGGCGACGCCCATTATCAGCCCACGAAAATACAAGCCTACTGGCGCATTCACTCCTCGTGCTGCGCAGCGTGGTGCGCCCACGCCTCGGAGTGTTACCTCGAAGCTACCAGCTTGGACCGAAGACTCTTCGCCGCCCTCGTCTCCTGCCCCGCAACTGCGCGCGGACATTTTCTCCCCTATGAAGACACCACGAACACCCGGTGTGAGCGTGCAGACACCTGCAAAGGGCAAACATCCGATGAGCATCCAGCGGACAGGCGGGACAATCTTTGATGATAGCGACGAGGAGGAAGATGAGATTGAAATCTTTAGCCCTCCAAAAACAATTCAGTTCCATATCCCGCATAGCAAGCTTCTGCAAACGCCCGGTAAGTCTCGACACATTATCACCTTTGAGACATGACTGACAAATTTGTAGCCCGAGAGGCCAGTAAGCGCATCGTAGACGACTTGTTGATGACGGCCGGAGGAGACATAACAGAAACCACTGAAGGCATGGATGAGGACAGTCCGAGTGTGGTGCGAAGGCAGGTAGATTTTGACGACAGTTTCTAGAAGAGAAGTAAATGGCAGGCCACCAAATCCAGCCGCATATTGCGCATAGAGAGCATTTATACCCCACAATACTTCCATAGGGGGTCCATCAAACTGCCACTCATGTACTAGAACAAAGTCCCGACCGTGGGCCCCAGGTGTCTTGCATGTGATGATCCACAGTGTAGGGCGAGCTAGGACGAAGTGGGGATTAGCGGCGGCAACCCCATGCAGTAGCTCCGTCGTCATTCCATCACAATTGCCAGGCACCGGCTAAGCACACGAGAACACGACCGACCCTCAGTTCCTTTGCTCACCAAGTCCCCGCAATGCCGAAGTCGAAGCGGCCGCCAACATCGGGCTATGCCCGGATAGCCCAAGCTGAAGAAGAGGAAGACTCTGGGAGCGACTTCGAGGGTGACCACCACCAAAGCTCCCTGTCCAACACGCACTTTGCCCCTATACAGCCACATCGCAGTTCGGGTATGCGCATGAACGGCTCAGGGCCAAGCTCACCAAATTTCAAGAAAACACCCTCTGGACGAAGGCAGCGTGCCAACTCGGGAGTCGACATCAAGGCCATCAACGCCAGATTCGAGCGATGGGCTGACGAAATCGCGCAAAAGTTCAAGATCAAAAAGGGGAGCGACTCGGCAGAAGATGAACCCCTCGAGATACACCACTCCGTTTTTCAGGCCCCAGACTGGGTACGACCAGCAACAGCCGAGTCCCTGACGTTCGACTACGACGTACCATCCGACCGTATGACCAAGCTCGAATTCGATGATATCGTAGAAAGTGTCAGGACGGCAATTGATATGAATATGCATCCAAAGCTCATTACACAGGGCAGTTCAGGCAGCTACTTTGCGCGAAATCCCCAGGGAAAAGTAGTGGGTGTTTTCAAGCCAAAGGACGAGGAGCCCTACGCGTCTCGGAATCCGAAATGGACAAAGTGGATACACCGGAATCTGTTTCCCTTCTTCTTTGGCCGTGCCTGTCTCATTCCCAACCTCAGCTACATTTCCGAAGCTGCCGCATACGTCCTCGATACCCAGCTGCGCACCAATCTTGTGCCCTACACTGATGTCGTTGGTCTCTCTTCCAAGTCTTTTCACTACGATTTTTGGGACAGAAGGGCATACTACAGGAAGCGGAAGCCATTCCCCGAGAAACTTGGCAGTTTCCAGGTGTTTTTAAAGGGGTTCAAGGATGCAAACATCTTCCTCAAAGAGCACCCCTGGCCTGATCAGCACGGCACCGGATATAGCGGAGACAGGGCTGCACGGAAAAAGAAGCGGAGATGGGCAGAGGACTGCCGACCAAGCGGAGTCCAGTCTGACGGCGAGGATGAAGAAGAACAAGCCGGCATGATGGGCGAGCACAATCAACGGAGGGGCTTCTGGACACCTGCATTACAGCAGTCTTTTAGAGAGCAGCTCGAGAAGCTAGTCATACTGGATTACATTATGCGAAATACAGACAGAGGACTGGACAACTGGATGATCAAGATCGACCAGAAGACACAGCAGGCCACGATTGTCGCCGAGCCGCCCAAACTAGATGAAGATGTGGATGTTCAGGATCACCAACCGAGTGACTACACAAGACATTCAATGGAGGCAGCGGATCCATACGGAAGACGAGAGCCCATGAGTGCAGCCAGTCGATCAAATACTCCCAGACAGAGCGGGCCAACGCCTACAGTCACGATTGGTGCCATTGACAACAGTTTATCCTGGCCCTGGAAGCACCCCGACGCAGTAAGTAAATATCTCTGAAGTTTTGACTACGCATGCAGCGAGCTGATAGAATTGCAGTGGCGTAGCTATCCCTTTGGTTGGCTCTTCCTCCCTGTTTCACTCATTGGACAGCCCTTCTCCGAAGCCACCCGCCGTCACTTTCTTCCTCTCCTCACGTCGAAACAATGGTGGAGTGACACGCAGGCGGCTCTCCGAAAATGTTTCTCGCAGGACGCCGACTTCAAGGAGCGCATGTATGCCAAACAAATTGCAGTCATGAAAGGACAAGCGTGGAATGTGGTGGAGACATTGAAGACGCCCGACCTGGGCCCTCTTGAGCTTACAAGGAGAGCCCGCGTATGTGTGTGGGACGACATAGTGGAGATACCGATTGCTGTTCCACTGAGGGCGCCGTCGGCAGAGATGAGAAGACGGCAATCAGGCAGGCCCCCAAGGCTAGAAGAAGAGCATGAAGAAATGGATATTACGGCTGTTTCGACGCCGCCGCAGAAGCCACAGCAGGATCTCGTCATGAATTCACCTCCCCTGGAAACGGCACTCGAGAACCGCTTCAACCTTGCGCGGGGTGCTTCGTTGCTCGACGTACGCCAGGCTGATGGCCGCCCTAAATCGCCAGCGACTATAAACGACGTATATACGGGCTCACGAACCGCCGACAGGCATACGAATGGACGACCAGCGACGCAGTCGCGCATGAGCTACGAGCCGCCTCGTCGGCATGTGCGTGACAATCAACATCATCATAGGCGACTCTCGCTCACGCATGGAAGAGATGTTGACGAGTATGGGTTCGACGACGACGGTGATCTAGGTTATGCTGCAAACGAAGACATGGAAGGAAACCAGAAAAAGGTGATTGTAGAACGACTGGAGATGGTCAAGGGCAAGAATCCGGTATTCACTTGGTGTTGAGCGGGATTCTGGCCGGACACTGGCACAGGGACATGTGTTGTACGAAAGGAATGATTGTTTTGCATGAAAGGCGTGTGAAGGATTATCATAGCACTAAGCATGGGCATGGGCATATTCCGTGGGGCTGCATGGGTGGCGTTTTGTTGCATGTTCAGGTTAGGTAGCAACATGGCAGTTGTCCCAGAAGGGGTTGCACGGCGTACCTTGACCCCCCACGTCTGGTGGTCATGTGCGTGGTACATGTTACGAGGTCAATCATCAATTATGACTCGGACTAGATATCTTGATCTATTCGAGGCAGTGCTCGCGCAACAAGAATATTTGACGGCCCTTTCTCGGCGTCATCCCCGCACACGTTTGTAGGCCATGTGATGGTGGTGGGCAGAGAAGACCTAGTCCACAAATATGGGATTGTTGAACACGCGTCGGAAATGACCGGCAGCGATTAGTGCACGCTGGTGGATGTCGATGGGTGTCGACTGAAATTGGACGTGTAATCAACTTGCAAGGAGGAGAGGGAGGGAGTTGTGGAGGCCAAGAATCGGCGCCAGCAGTGGCTTTCCAGCAGGCCGCTGGGTATGTAGGTAGGCACTCTACTACGAGATATTCTAGGAAAACATGTTCCTTGGACGCGCCAAGCATGCCGCCGTGGCTTCAAATTTAGATGCGGTAGGTAATAGATGGCGTAAGAGCAGGTCCGCTAGGCAATTCGATGGGCTGCATTGAGGCAGGTCCGATGTCATCGCTATCGCGCTGCGAACGCATGCACGGTCTCGTTTCAGGCTTTGGCGTCGTCGTACACACACACACGCACACGAGCGGAAGAATCGATGGGTCATCTGACATATCCATCCACACTCGCGCTAGGCCTCTTCCAGCCACACCTCAATCCACCCCCAACAGGCGACCATGAAAGGCAACAGCTCTTGACCCTGCGTGCATCGTTCAAAGAAGCAGGTCTTCGTATGACTCCCGGGCACCACACTCGTTGATGCCAGCCGCGACATTACAAGAGCTCAGCCGCCCAAACTACGGCCGCTTGACTTCAGCCATCGCAGAATCACTGCACAGCTCGAGTAGTCAGCATCACGCGACCTGTTGCAGATAGGGGTGCTTTACGCCGGGAATCTGATCAAAGAAGACCAGTGAAGGCGTCTGAGTGTTCAAGAGACGGATAAAGGGTTGACAAGCAACCTTTCCAGCGTGTTGTGGCGAACGTTTACTAGGGCTTGGCATCAGATGCGCTGAACCGTTGAGCATCACGGCGTCGTGGGAAGAGCTGGGAGACTCACAAGTGAAGTCAACAGGTAAAAGATAGAAACAGACGTCGCCATTTGGAAACTAGACACCATGAATCCAGCTCTATTACTTGACCCTACGGGGCGACGGAGAACAGGTACGTCTCGTCAGTTTCCTCAATCTACTTTTCGATACCTCTTCCTTCCACTTGGTATCAGTTTCCACTCAATCGGCTTTGGATATTCAAATATCTTCAAATGTCAAACACAAACTATGACATGGAAGCATCTGGCACAGGCCTGGACATGGTAGACGACGCGCACCCGGGTGCAATGTCATGGGCTTCACTTCTTGCGTCTGAACCTTATGAGCTTCTGTTTGACACACCACAACCAGCTGGTGATGATCTGGACTACTGCAACTCCGAGTTACCGGATTCCCTCACATTCACCGACCCAGAGCTAATAACGCACGTGCCAGGCGAGACCACAACTCACCATAACAACAGTCACGGAGCGCCAGTACCTCAGATAGCTCAGTTTGATCCTCGAGCACTACTCAACCCCAAGTCAGCAAATCCAAAGCGTCCAGCATCCTCTGGTGGAGACACTGATCGCGGCCGCATCGAGCCCAGCAACATCGGCCAGGTCGCACTTGTCGAGCGTTTGCACAACATCCAAGAGCGCACAGCATCGCCTGCAAAGCGGTTCAAAACCGGAGAAGTACAGGCCAACACTCCACATCGAACGAACTTTAGCAGTGGAAGCGCCCTTGATTTTCGGTACCAACAGAACTCTCCCGTAGTATCTTCACCGCAGCAAAAGCCGTCCATTGATTTGACCATGAGTGAGTACAATACTTTATGAACAAGAAAACAGGACTAACATATACCAGGCGACGACGAGGACGAAGTTCAGATAATTCAAGATAACAGTAATGACGAAGTCTGCATTGGCAAGCTCAAGCACACTTATATCCAAGCACATCTCGTTCCTTTCCCGGATCCCAAAAAGTTTGTCGGAAACCACGGCGGTCAGAGCCGAATCAAAGTCGCTTTTCGTAGGGCTGGCAACAAGGGCAATCAAATCATTATGGTCCTTGATGGCATGGGCAAAGAGTTTGGTAGGGTCGACATGAAGACGGCACAGGGACTTACTCCTCTCATTGATAGCGCGCATATAAGCGGTCTCAAGTGGATGGCCTGGACAGAGCCGCGTCGCAAGCTTCCAAACGAAGGGCCACCAGGCAGCAGTACTTCAGCTCTTATTACAATGACTCTGCAGCTTTACTGCCCCCGCAAAAATGCAGATAATATCGGCAAATTTCTCAAGGGCAAGAACCTCATCCTCGAGCGTCCCGTTTTCGAGCTCGCGCGTCATGATTACTACAATCCGCAAACAAAAGAAGGATTCCAGAAGAGTCAAGCTTCACAGCCTGGTTTCGAAGCGCCTGCACCATATGCAGCCATGAATAACTACGTGGTCCGTAGCGTCGATGAGATTCGCCAGGAAGTGGACGATGTCTTTGACACGGTCGTCTCCAGCTCCGAAGCGGTACCGATGCGGAACCCGTCACCACTCATCAAGACTGAGTTGTACCCACATCAAAAACAAGCGCTTTACTTCATGATCGATCACGAAAAGGATCATTCTTCCGAAGAATTTGATCAACGTAGGGATCCGATGTGGACGACCAAGACTCGCGATAACGGCCGGATATCATACGTACATATCATCACTGGCGAAGAGAGAGCCCAGAAGCCAGCCCCAAGCCTGGGAGGTATACTAGCCGATGAGATGGGACTTGGAAAAACGCTCAGTATCCTTTCTCTTATCTGCGATGAGGCCTCCATCACTGCCGCTCAAACATTCAACCAAAAGAAACCGCCTCCCCGCCCCCTTCCCGCCATGATACAGCCTATCATCAATACTCGAGCGACGCTTCTTGTATGCCCCCTCAGTACGATGACTAATTGGAAAGAGCAGATTAAGGAGCATTTCCCCGAGGGCAACGGTGCATTGAAGTGGACGCGATACCATGGAGCCGAGAGATTTTCCATGACTCCTGAGAAGCTAGCAGACTACGACATCGTCCTGACTACGTACCATATCATCGCCAAGGATATCATGGACAAGAAGCGTGCGCTTCCTTATCTCAACTGGTTCCGCATTGTCCTTGATGAAGCTCATACGATTCGTAACCCAACTAACCAGTCAAAGGCCGCTTGTAATATGATGGGCCAGCGGCGATGGGCTGTTACGGGTACACCAGTTCAGAACCGACTTGAGGATCTTGGCGCACTCTTCAACTTCATCAAACTGAGACCATTCGATACCACCGCAGGCTTCAACACGCATATACTGAACCCCTTCAAGAGTGCGGATCCCAATGTGGTAAAGCGACTGCAGCTCCTCGTTAGCACCGTGACCATTCGCCGCACAAAGGAGATCATCAAGGAAGAGGTGCCAAGGAAGCTCGATTATGTCGTCAGGCTGCAGTTTTCTAGGGAAGAGAAGCAGTTGCACGATTGGTTTGAGAAGGATACGCAGCGCAAGGTTCTTGCTGTTACCCAGGGCGACAAGATGGGTGGAAAGTCTTATGCGCGCATTCTCACGGCTATTCTCAACCTTCGCCTCATCTGTGCACATGGACGCGATTTGCTGAGTGAAGAGGCCTTGAAGACTACAGATGGCATGACGTACGATCAGCCCATGGAGATTGAAGATGACGGTCAGGAAACGCCCCAGCTCACGCGCCAACAAGCATACGAGATGCTCAACCTTCTCGAATCTACAAACGCAGCCGACTGCCACTACTGCCCAGGCAAGAAATCGATACTAGACGCTGACCCCGACGACGAAGACGAAGAAGGAAACGTCCAAGATGTCATCGGTTACATGACCACCTGCTACCACCTTGTCTGCCCCCGCCATCTTAAGAAGTTACGGGATCAGTGGAAAAGTCTTGTCCAACCCGACGGCTCTGTCCGCTGCCACATCTGCGACGACGTTAACCGGCCCGCTGCCCTGGAACTCAAACGCGCGGATTTCTACTCCTACCTTGAAGAGCAAGACCGTATCCGCAAAGACCCCAAGTTAGCCAAGAAAATAGGCAGTTACACCGGCCCCCACACAAAGACCCAAGCCCTTCTCAACGACTTGGATGAGTTCCGTCGCTGGAGCGATGAGCATCCCGACGAACGTCCTATCAAGAGGTATATCCCGCCACCATCCCCAAACCCCTCATCTAGATTATGTTCCACTAACACGCTACTCCAGCATCGTCTTTTCCTCCTGGACCACTCATCTTGACCTCATCGAAATCGCCCTCAAAACCGCCGGCCACGCCCTCGTCCGCCTCGACGGCCGCATGACCCGCGACGCCCGCGACAAATCCATGCACCTCCTGCGCACCTCCCCCGACATCCGCGTCATGCTCGTCTCCATCGGCGCCGGTGGCCTCGGCCTCAATCTCACCACTGCCAACAAAGTCTTCATGATGGAACCGCAATTTAACCCCGCCGCCGAAGCGCAAGCCGTCGACCGTGTGCACCGCTTAGGCCAGGACAGGGAGGTCACCATTAAGAGGTTTATTATGCAGGATAGCTTTGAGGAGAAGATGCTTGTGCTGCAGGACAAGAAGAAGGCACTTGCAGATTTGACGATGGCGAGGGAGAGGCGGAGTAAGGAGGAGGCGACCAAGGCGCGGTTGGAGGAGTTGAGGAGTTTGTTTAGGTAGAGCGCGGGAGCAGGGTGAGGTGACGGCAGCGGAATGGAGAGGTGGACGTGATGAGTGACGGCACGATGACAACGAAATGAATCAACGAGGAAGTTATGTGAATGGGAATATCATATACAACATCATATTATCAGGGGTTTTATTGCGGAAACCAGGACAGGAAGGACAAGTGGGTTTTGGAGGGGTGGGGTTTGGCAACAACAAACATACGACTTCTCCCATTCTAGTCGTAGTTTTTGTTTTCAATTGCTTCATTCTCTTCTCTTTTTCTTTAATTACAATGGTGTTTTGAGGCGTGTACATGGGCAAAGTTTTGAGGCGGTTGGGTGATGAGCGATGAGGTTTGAGATGGCGATATGGGAATCGGGGGGTTTTTGTGTATATGGGGCGGTCGGGTTGGTGGATTTGGTGGTGGTAAAATAGGCAAGCGGGCAAAGTGGCAACGGAAAAGAAAATCCCCATATACCTCTTTTTTTTCTTTTCAGATTTAATTCTAGGTGAGGCTTGCATGGTTCTAGTTATATATCTTACGTATATAGATTTTTTTTTCACCTGTATCTTTTGATTGATGTGTATGAGAGATGTGTATGTATGGGTTGCGTGCGAGAATAGTGGGTACATTTGGTTTGGCGAGTTATTGAAATGGGCTTTGTCGTGATTGCGGTGGTTGTGAGTATGGAGGGCTGTGGGTGGGATGTTGTAAGAAGCGGGAGATTTGAATAGTTAGGAGGGTGTGGGGATGGTTGGATTGTGCGAGGCACTGAGGAAGTTGCGGTTTGGTTGGGTGGTAATGAGATTTTTTTAGCTATTGAGGTGGGGATGGTGCATAGATGATGTAGAATTGTTGGAGAAATGCTACTTCAGTACTGACGCCATATCGCAGTGTGGAGATGCATTATTGAGGGATTTGGTGAGGGTGTATGACGGGTTTGCCCTGAGATTTACTTTAGGAACGTGAGGAAAGTCGGTCGAGCTGCTTCATTGGCAATATACTAGTCAGGGACCGATTCAGAACTATCCGACAATGATCATGCAGATGGCCCTTGGTTGATAGTAGAGGGGTGTTAGCATAATGAGGCGAACATATTGCGGATCTGGTGCTTTGGCAAGGTTCTCATATTGAATAGAATTTGGTACATAGTGTTTGTCGATCGTTAAAACAACTAAGATCGGTACTACATAGGTCTAGGCGGATGAGGCGGGCTGTACAACGGTAGATGTAACATTGCCCCAGGTTTATGTCACAATCACTGCATCAATTTAGCAACTGCTAGCGAAAATGAGTAGATGAATTGGCATTTCGGTTAACGTTGGCAATCGCACCATATGCCAGCGATATCACGACTTATTATTCTTCTTCCTCGTACATGAACCAATCCCATGAAATATCTCGCGTTCGCCAGTAACCGCGATATAGCTGCTCTGTTTGCTGACTGTTGTTTTGCAGCAAAGACGTCGCCCAGCTTCTTCATGCATGCAGATTGTTTTCCTGGTGATGCGAGCATATTGATTCTGGTGGCTAAGCTTCGCGACACTCCATCGATGCTGAGCCTGTACTTACGGCGAGATACTGTTCAGTTGCACTGATGGTCCAAAAAGCCAGCTCAGCTCCCGCTACGTCGACAGCTTCACATCCTGACTTGTCGTGGCTCACTCCCATCGTCTGGGCCTACATATTCAGTGATAACATTTCAATCCTGCTATCACAAGCTTTCACATTTTTTTTTGGCTATTTACCAGGGTCAAATCGGTTTCAATCCAGCCCAGTGGAACCAATCTGTTGAATTACAAAGACACTCTGCTTTTGCTCTATCCTAAAGTTCTTCACTTGGCAACGCTCGATGGCAGCATCCTGTCTCCCCGAACAAATCATTTGCCGTCGTCAGCTCCTCGAATAAGACACAGCTTCCTGGTGTATGTTCGCCAAGATACACCAGAATATTGGATGCGCGCCTGTAAACCTCATCCCTAATGCGAACTTGACAAGCTCTCTCTGCCATATCTAGCTGATTGATGCAAATAGCATCGATACAAACCAGCCGGTCCTCGTGTCTTAGCCGCAGGTACCCAAGAGCCTCGTGGCAATTCCTACGAGTTGCCATTCCCTGCCGCCATTCCATTCAATCTTCTTTGTTAGAGTGCTATTGCCCCAGGTGTAAGAAAGTGCCTTGTATTCGAGAGACGCGTCGGATAGTGATGCATGTTGGATTGTGCATGCAATAGGGTCTGAATCGTTCAAGCTGGGATGCAAAGTGAGAACTCGAAGAGAGTCGTTGCTTTGCAGTGGCTGATATCGATGACAGCACATGTTGATTGAAATTTATGGATGATTAGTTGAAAAGAGAAGTAACAGATTGGAAATTTGTGTATGTTAGCGATGTTTAGGCATCAGCTCTACTATGCAACTAAGCCCTTGGCTGCAGCTAGCAGGTGGGGTCGTTTTGGCCTAGGCGTTACATACTTCACTGACTATACTTCTTAAATTGAGTAAGTGGGGCTACAACACTGCCACACTGTGGCACAAAATAAAACTGCAGCTGCGTGTCTGCTTTCACTGTTGCATTGAGGCTTCTTGAGCCTCTTTAGCTGCTTTCTCCCTGGCACAATATTCTCAAACCACCCTCCCGTTCCCATCCTTGTCGACTTCCTAATGAATGTCAGACTTTTTCTTGTGACGAGTCAGGTAGCATTAACCAGCTTCAAAACGAGTATTTTGTGGAGGGGGCTTTGCTTCGCTTATTACTGTTACCATCACAAGAACTATGCTTGACCCGATTTAGCAAACCCGTCGGGGCTTCTGCGGACACGGACATTCCGCCACACACCAGTCTTTCTAGTACGGAGGTATACGCATTAGTAGGACTGTTATGCGCTACGAACCATGTCACTGCCAACGTGTATGTGACGCCCACCCACCCAGTGGCAAACAACGCAGCTTGAATGATGGAAAATGTTCATACCAACACTGCATAAGAAATACAAAGCATTGATAAGGTCGTTCCGCTACCGTTCTCTTCTCACGGCCACATTGTCTTTTTTTTTTGCTCCTTTATTTACGAACAATGCCACTCCAACGTCTTGCGCCCGAAATTTACCTGATTCACGACCCGATATCCAATAGCTCAAGTGTGTTTTTAAAGTTGACACTCAGGTTCAATATGGGTGTAATAATAATCTTTATGATGTCGCAATTCCGGCCTACAATCAGTATGCAGCTAGTTGGAAGTGCTCCGGGTGGCTTCCAAATTACAAGTCCTGAATGCTTTACATGGACATTATAGGTGCAGCTTTCAACGAGTCGCTACACGAAATCAGGTACGGCATGGCTTCTTTTCTGAAATATGCAGGTGTATGACGGGTGGAGGTTCACGAAATAATTGGGCAAACTGAGGGCTCAGTATGGTATGAAATGCAGTTTTCATCTATAAACTGAGTAAATGAACAATACAATAATTTAGACACATTTTTGGCTAAATTCCAGTAATGTTGTAAGTAGAGTGAATGCGTTGAGTTTATCAATTTGATGTGTCGAGCGTGAAATGATAAGATTGCGGAATTGTAACGCGTAGGCTTACCTCTCTCTTACGAAGCAACTTTGACCACAAGGGACCTAGCTCTGGTCACAACTATAAACTGAAACCTGATGATAGCCAAGGTACCCAAAGGCCGCCACTTCCATCGGCTCAGTAATCAATCGGTGAAGCTTTTCTGGAACATGAAAGGACACTATCCTTATATATTTCATTGGACTGCGAGGGGTATCAGTAGAGCAACACTTCAGTGCAATAGCAGAGGCTTATCATCATACCTTATTTGCCCCAAACCTTTCTCCAGATCATTAAATCCTCGAGCGTTCTAGCTGCAGTGATGCATGTGAAGACGTTCTCATTCTTCCTTGTGAAGAACCACCGATTTTCCACTAGTGCTTGCACTCGCGTTTGTACTGGGAGTTTCTCGTCACTAAAGCGGGCCCACGCCTGATCATAAGGTCGCATGTTGGGTTGAAGGTGTGATAGGTCCTCGTAAGCAACGCCATGCTTTTCCAATAATTCCTTCATCTTTACTCCCGCAGCCTCCGAAAGTTCTCCAAGCAATGAGTTCCAGACGGTCAATTTATTGATCTGATTTGGCAACTCTCCAAGTAGCCACTTCTGGTATTCTTGAAGATCGGAATCCAATTCTTGCAAGTCATTCTCGCTCAATCTCACGAGGTCACTCCAAGATGCGCCACCAATTCGTATGACATGATGTGGTTCTTTTTCATCAATCTTCTTTTCCGCAATCGCCTTTTTCAGGGTTTTAAACGCTATATCTTTCCTCTCATCATAGTCACCGTCTGCATACAGCACGAGCAGGTCCACGCCGAAGATTCCCATTAAAGAATAAGCAGCATCTTCTGGGATAGTTGCAGAGCGGCCCTGGCTCCAAGACAAACGCTCATCTACGGTAAAGTAAGAGACCTCAAGTCCCTGGAGAGCTCGAATGGGAACCTGAGTCACAACGCTAATCGTAGATCCTAGCGTTTTCTTATTGCCGAGGAATGCCTTTTCCTTGGAAAAGAAGAAGATCGAGGTTGGTGCGATGAGTTCTTGAAGCGTCCAACTACGTTTGAACCATCTGCTCTTCGAGAACGCATATTCCTATTCCATATCAGAACCTTCTGTAGATTCGTGAATGGATACATCAGAGAGATACACGTAGCATCTGGCGGAATTTCGATACCAGTAGAACATAGAGGCCAGTGAACGCTGTAGTTCGGCGCTGGATGACTTGTTGATGCAGCAGGTGTCGATCCAGAAGTATGTTAGACCATCTGTCACAGTCTTCTCTTGACAAAAGCGCAGTTTTTCGTATCCCGGTTTGCTATTATCGCAATAGTCTTTCTGCCCACCTTGAATATCCTCGAATTGAACCTCATCATCACTGCAGCCCCAAGTATGGGGCAGTATCGCATAGACTGGAGTTTCTCCCCCCGAGAACCACTCAAGGATCCACTTGCGTTTATCAGGATCAAGCCGCAGCAGTCGCATAGTGGTATTCAGTAAAAAATGTAGAAAGTTGCGAGGGTAGAAAGATATAGCATGACAGTAACTTCTCGCATAAGAGACTCAGCCTACCCCGCATAAGGCTGTTGTTTGCTGTCCCCACAGTTTCATGATAACCAATCACGTCTCAATTAAAAAGCATGGCTTTTTTACTGCTTGAATACTGCTTTGGGTAAGTTCCATATTCGGGTGACGGAAAACTGGTATTAAGTGGGACACGTATTTAGTCTTAAATTACACAAACCAACACGGCTACTAAAACATGTCATATGGAGCAAGTAACGTATCTTTGGATAGTTAAGATTGTTTGCATAAGAGATGAGAGAAAAACACAACAATGATCAGTGCGCGGAACACTGTAGCCACAAAGAGATCAATCTTGCATATGGTCACCTTTGGTATACAAAGTGACTATCATCACAAGCCTAGCCTAATCAATTGCTCCCGCTTGAAAACTGATCGCTGGCCAAAAGACGATAGGATCGTTCCTTCGATTGGCCTTTTTTAAGGCAATAAGAATAATTGCTCTCCAGACTTTGTCTAAATATGGTTTAGGGTGGAGCACAGGCCCCCATGCTCCTTGGCCTTGAACAACCGATACCAGGGGGTTTACGTCGACTGATGTTTGCTTTCAGTGCGCTTGAACGTTGTAGATCGTCTCATGGACTCCCTTTTCTAATTTTAAAATCACTGGCATAGATCTTCTAAGACTTAATTCAGCGGAGAAAATCCCAAGACGGGCCCACAAAACGCGACGCTGGTTCCCGAGATCCGTCGCCTCCCGTACTTACTACGGTTAAGGCCCTCAAATTGGCAGGCGTTGGCCGAGAGAACCGGGGTTTTCGCCTTCCCACATTCCTATTATTTCCTAAACACCCCTTACGCAATGCCTTGGCCACCCATGACTCGGGGGATTTTATTAAGCTATACGAATAGTATTGCAGATCCTATACCTAAGAAGGCAGAAGTTAAGAAACGATAAGACCCGCTTGGATTTGTGACTTGTCCCAATTACAATGGTCTATGCGACAACGGCAATGGTGCAAGTCAAAAAGCGCATGTAGTCCAGCAGTGGTGGGTAAGTCGCCTCTGGTCTACACGCCTTGCCTTCGTTCACAATGCGCTTCTTCACTCGTTTTACCGCGCTGGTCACAGCCGCAGCTCCATTCGTTGCTCTTGCTGCTCCTGTCGCAGCACCTCCAACGGATGACATTATTCCTGGAAGATACATCATCCAGTTGAAGCCTGACACCGATATTGCGGCGGTCGCTGCTCACCATAATAAAGTGCGCAGCATCCATGCCCGCAACCTGGCTCGACGAAGTGACAATGCTCCTGCTGGTGAGCCAGTAGAGCGCGAGTACGGCTTCGGCGACTTCAAAGGCTATGCTGGGTCTTTCGATGAAGCAACCATCGAAGAGTTGAAGACTCTGCCAGAGGTAATACAGGTTCTACCATACAATGACACAAGGTAGCAATACTGACACAGTTGTTAGGTCCTTGTAGTTGAGCCAGATTTCATTGTAAGAACTAGCGCAATTGTGTCTCAGGCAAACCCACCATGGGGCCTTGCTAGCATCTCCTCCCGCACGCCAGGAGCCACCTCTTATGTCTACGACAACAGTGCGGGCCAGGGCACCTTTTCCTATGTAATAGGTAAGTCAAAAACATCATGCAGATCTTGATCTGATATTGATATACTATCAAGACACTGGTGTTCGTATCACCCACCAGGAATTCGGCGGACGAGCCATCTGGGGATTCAATGCCGTAAGAAACAGTCCTGATACTGATGAAGAGGGTCATGGAACGTAAGCCACACTCCATCTCACAGTGACTATACCCTTCTGACATAACTTAGTCACGTTGCTGGAACACTTGGTGGTACCACGTTTGGTGTTGCCAAGAAGACGGCAATCATAGGTGTCAAGGTTATAGGCGGAAGCACAGGATCTGCATCAGATGTCTTCGCAGGATTTGACTGGACGGTCAACGACATTGTCTCGAAGAACCGACAAAACACTGCCGTCATCAACATGTCGCTTGGTTCAACTGCCTCTACAACGTGGGACAATGCCCTTACTGCAGCTTGGAACAAAGGTGTAAGCATGGTAGTAGCAGCAGGAAACGAAAACCAACCCACCTTCGATCGTTCACCATGCCGCTCTCCTGAAGTCATCTGTGTCGGAAACGTCCAGAGCAACAACAGGAGGCTCGGCGGCGGAGGAGGCTCCAATTACGGCCCTGAAGTGGATATTTTTGCTGCAGGCACCCTCATCGTCTCAGCATCCCATCTGAGCGACACAGGATCGACAGTTAAGAACGGTACCTCCATGGCATCTCCTCACGTAGCTGGTCTGGTCTCATACCTCCGTGGTCTCGAGGGACCTTCGACTGCGGCGGCCGTTAAGGCAAGGGTGTACCAACTGGGCACGCCTGGTGTTGTGACAGACACAATGGGCTCAGTCAATCTGTTGGCATACAACGGCAACAAATAACTACAATTCTAATGCATGGGAGTCTAAGAATTTTGGTCATCCACCATTGTACGATTCAGATGTAATCTACTTCCTGCCTTGGTCTATTTTTTGTATATATTATATCATCAATACCACATATCCAATGTTATCTAAGTCACTTTCCGTGCCTCGAGTTCACCATATGGCTTGTTTAACCGGCTTGTCGTGTTCTACAAAGCAAGCGGTCTATGCATTCAACTCCAACTAGAAAATGATTGACAAAGCTTCCTGAAGCACAAACTCTTGACCAAAAGACACATGTAACTCATTCGTCGCTACTCGTTCCGAATCAATTCCTTCACAATGTCATTGAAAGGAACAATCAACCCACAAACACGTTGCAAAGCACCTCAATATATCCATTTTTCCAACATTTCATACTATCAGGTCAGCAATATAATGCCATCTTCACAATTGGTAAAGATTGACTTTTACCAAAGGTATAACAGCTTGGCGCCGCCAAAAATGTCGACACTAACCCGCCATGTGGACTGATCCACTGCCAAGTCTACCGGGATGGAGCGAGACCAATATATTCTGCTATAAACTCAGAAAATGTGCACGATCATCTAGAATAATGCAAGGTCCGTCCCTGCGTCGAGAGACACCCGCTGTGCAGTGATAGCTTCCAACCCGGCCTCTCGAATCCTTTTCCTATAGATATGCAAAGCTTTGGGTAATACGATAAGATGCTACCGTCTTTTCTTGATGAGGAATTAAGCCTTCAAAAAGTACTTTTCAAATGTTGGTCATGTTGTCGATCGTTCAACGTAGACTATTGATCCTACTTATACAACCCTTTGTTTACTTGTGACCGAGATAACTTTGCCACGTTTCGGAGGGTCAGAAACGAAGCGCTACTAACAAAGAATATTTACCTAGCTCTGGAGCATACACTGACCGTAAAATCATGGAATTTGACAGAGCCCGTACTTATCAGCGCACCTACTGCATACGCGTATGATATCCTTATGACAGACACACTTCTAAAGATATTCGTAGCTCAAGGATTATATAGGGCGATTGCGACGGTATTTGCTACGTACCCTGATACACGTGAGTCCGCCACGTGGGCGCCAAGAAGTGCAGCTTGAACATTGCTTCAGCCTTGCTTCAGCCTTCCTTCAGCCTTCCTTCAGCCTTCCTTCAGCCTTCCTTCAGCCTTCCTTCAGCCTTCGTCAATATCGTCGCTTTCTTCACTAAGAAATACCTCCTTGCATGCGCTTCTACTGCAAATCATAAACTAGATTAGCCCCCTGAATTTATCATTTCCATTTGCAAGTACCTTAGCTTCGCACTACTCGTGGCCCATGGGGTTGTGCGAGTGGGTTGGACTGCGCAAAAATGGCCGAAGGTCTCGCTGCTGTTGGGGTTGTCGCCAGTATAGCTCAGCTCGTCGATTTCAGCGCCAAAGTCCTCCTTCGCCTCAAGGAGTTCCATTCTCTTGCAGAAGAACTACCGATATCCCTTCGCCATGTCAGCTCTGAGTTGCCTGTTCTAAGCACTACACTAGAGAACATTTGCCAAAACCTGAAGGTAAACCCAGCAGATTCCAAACTCGAAGCTGCTCTGCTGTTAGTAGTCAGTGGGTGTCACGAACAGATAGCGCAACTAGACGCTATCATTGTGAAGACGCTGCCGACTGCCGATGACAAGTGGTTGTCAAAGAGCAGGAAGGCGATAGGAAGCCTGCAACGGGAAGAGAAAGTCGAAAACACTACAAAAATCTTACGAAACTACATTGCGACGCTAACATTCTACCACACTGTCACATCATCTGCCATGCAACCGCTACAAGGTAAATGTCTAATAAGGGGTGCGTGTAACTCTGACTGATTGTATTGTACAGATGCGAAACTTATCAAGATACGCCAGTGGCTAGCTGCACCAGATCCTTCCACGAACTACCAAAAAGCACTCAAGCAACGCCAAGAAGATACCGGGCTTTGGTTTCTCAAGAATGACCAGTATGCTGAGTGGAAGAAAAGCATGGCATCTTTCCTTTGGCTGCATGGCATTCCAGGGTGTGGCAAAACTATCCTCTGCTCAGCTATTCTTCAAAATGTGCTCCAGCACTGCGAAGGTGACCCTGGCAGAGTCGTCGCATACTTCTTCTTTGACTTCAACGATATCCAGAAGCAAAGCGCTGAGCTTATGGTGCGCTCCGTAATCTGCCAGCTTTCACAACAGTGCGTTACGATCCCCGCAAGCCTTGACACGCTGTTTTCTTCTTGCGATGACGGGCAGCGGCAGCCCTCGCTACACGCGCTCTTAGAAGCGTTACAACACATGATGCGGGAGTTCCCATGCGTCTACATAATATTTGATGCGCTTGACGAGTGTTCTGGGCGAACGGAGCTAATGGACATCCTGAAGACTATGTCTGCCTGGCAGCTTGAGAATACACATATGCTTCTAACGAGCCGCAAAGAACGAGATATACAGAATTCTTTAGAGACTTTCATATATGAGCAGAGTCATGTCTGCCTCCAGAGTGAACGAGTGGACAAAGATATACAGAAATACGTACAGCAGCGACTATCCAACGACAAGGACTTCAGTCGGTGGGAAAAAGACCCTACCGTGAGGCAGGATATCGAGACTACTCTGGTGAAAGGAGCGCAAGGAATGTACGTATCATACCTTATGTCCATGTAAACGCTGAAGACTAATGTACTTGCAGGTTTCGATGGGCCGTCTGCCAGCTGGACACGTTGGCGAAATGTCGCACTCGGGCAGCGCTACGGAGAGCGCTTGTAACGCTTCCACCAACGCTTGACAAGACATATGATCGTATTCTGTCCGCAATCAGCGAAGACGATTCGCGGTATGCAATCACTATTTTACGGTGGCTGACGTTTGCAGCTCGGCCGCTATCACTGGGTGAAGTCGCTGAAATCGTTGCGATCAATTTGGATGATGAAGCCACATTCGATCGTGATGAGGTTCTCGAAGATCCGTTGGATGTGTTGAACATCTGTTCTAGCATGGTTACTATAAGTACGGAGGAGAGCGAAACGCAAGGCCCAGCAAAACAGATTGTAGTGCTTGCACATTACTCGGTCAAAGAGTATCTCATATCAGACAGAATACAGAAAGGTTCCGCAGCTCACTACAGCATGCAACTTGCTGTGTGCCATGACGCTATTGCGAGAAGCTGTCTTGGATACCTCCTCCAGTTCCGAGGAGTCAAAATGCTCAGCCACGATAATGCAAAAGAATTCAGACTGGCAGATTATTCAGCCATGTACTGGATAGAGCATGTTCGAATGACGAACGAGTAGGCAGAATGGTGCTCTCAAGAGGCGATAATACTACTTTCAGAAAAGAGCGACGTGTATGTGAACTGGCTTCGAATTCATACTCCAGACATGCCATGGGAGGGCTCGAACTTCCAGAGGAGCCTACAATCAATGCCATTACCTTTTTATTATGCAGGCCTGCTTGGCCTGAAACGGGTTGTAAAGTTGCTGCTCAACGCGGGCGCCGACGTTAACGCCCAGGGTGGATTCTACGGCAACGCGCTATACGCAGCTTCAGTAAAAGGCCACGAGCAGATAGTCAAGATACTACTCAATAAAGGCGCCAACGTCAACGCCCAGGGTGACTGTAGCACCGCGCTATACGCAGCTTCAGTAAAAGGCCACGAGCAGATAGTCAAGATACTGCTTAACGCGGGCGCCGGCATCAAAGTCCAACATGGAATGTACGACAACATACTATAGAGAGCTGCGTATTTTGGTAAAAATTCAATACTGGAGCTTCTAGTCTCAAAAATCGATAATACGCAGCTCCAGGATCCGTACAACCGGACTCTACTCTGGTGGGCTGCAGCCGGCGGCCAGTCTCATACTACAAAAGTCCTTGTTAGCCAGTACCATCACGACCTTCAGATCACGGACAAGTTTGGGCGCTCGCCATTGTGGATTGCTACCAAAGAAAGTCATCGTGAAGTGCTGGAATTCTTATCGGAAGTGTGTGGACTGACCAGTCTCGAGAAAGTATCGTTGCCTGATCATGGCCATGACGCGGTATATGATCTATGCAACGTCTGTACCTCGCCCATAAGTGCGGCTGACTTCCACTTCTATCACTGCGAATATTGCTCAAATGGAAATTGATGTGTTTGCGAAGACTGTTGGAAAAGAGGTGCTAATTGTGCGGATGAGACACATACCTTAACTGAGATCATAAAAGAAGGTCAAAATTGGGTCAAAATAACCGACTGAATATTTCAAGGTCCGAATCGCCCTGAGGATCTGTTCTTAGGGCTGCTGTAGCGCCTGCAAAGATAGATAAGGTTACACAAGGATGTTTTTGTATACAATGAACATTGTCAGTGCTCGCAGAACTCCTTCCACGATAGCAATAGCCCGTATCTTGAGTTTTGATTGGTTATCTAGGGCGCTGTACCGCACTGGCAGCATGCAGGACTTATTTTTGTACAGGACTATCAATGCTGGTGAGCTTACTGGAATGAATGCATCGGATGGCCTGAATGCCGTTATTTTGTACGTAACGAAAGAGACGAGCACCATCCTTACCGTTAATCTTACTAGCGTGCATCTTGACTTGCAATGCGACGCTACTGGCCCGTGTCCATATGCTTAACCCGCGAAATCACGGCAGATGGAACACTAAGAAAGGCTGAGCAGTTTTAGCAAAGCTTGTAGAAATGAGAAGTCAAAATAGATTGGACCTAGCCATACTAAGCAACCTAGGAGATCTTCCTCTAACAATACCTGTTCATGTTTGTAGGCAATTGAAGAATCGCAGCTCACTTCATGATATGGAGACTTTTAAGAAACAACCCAGACTTCCTGACCGCCCATCAACGGCTTCTATTTTAAGAATTATAATTCTTCGGGAAGTGCAGCTGACTGGTCATTCAATGAACTTTGATGTTAGGAAAGAGTTGATTAGATGCAAATCTCTGGCCCCTGCAACTGCCTTATACTATCTTTCCTGTCAAGATAATAAGCTTTTCCCGAATTTGCTTGGTGCAGGGACGGAATGGCTTAATTTATGGGTAAATAGGCCGAACACGAAAATCTAGAAATTCTAGCGCACGGGAATGTCCGACTTGAGTCAGCTTATGGTTGGTAGGAACATTCAGATCATTGCACATCAGTATGCAACATTATTCATTGGATACGAACATTGGCTGTTCGATAATGTAACCCAATTAAGCTGTAACAATTGTAAACAAAATTCCTCCTGTGCATTGCCAAACATCGCTCTTCTGAACATCGTCATCATGTGAACGAAGCATTGATGCAGCGCACTACTGTCAGCGATGTCACTATCGGATCTAAGCAGAAGTTGTATATTCCGGTGTGTACTCCGACAACTAAAATAGCCACCGCAAGGGCTAAAGTAAGCAGCCACTTTTGAAGCCGTTGGCACTATGCCCAGTTGGTCCTCTGCAAACCTACGTCCGGTATGTCACGACACGGTCCGCACCTATGAACACTGACCAAAATGGTTGCCGCGATGCCGCCTGCCTAAGAACGTGATTGTCACTGCGTAACAATATCGTAGGATGGCCATTCATATAAGAACATGAGCAGGTTCCCACTATGGTCGATCGTTGCCACGGCCATCTCGCGCTCTCTCCTAATCACCCATCCACCACCCTCGCTTCCTTAATAGATTATACAAAACTCTTGCCATGTTGTCTCTCGCTCAAGCTACGGCCATACTCGCCTTTACTGGCGCAGCTGTTGCTAGTCCTGCCCCAGGAGGTTCGTCAAACAAGGAGTGCGCGGTGATTATTGCGCAGTGCAGAACACTCAACCGAGCTATTGCTAACATTTCTCCAAAGCAGACGGTACTACCTTTTCGCTTAGTCCAATACCTGGATCCGGATCTCCAAAGCATGGACTGAATGAGTTAATCGCTCTCAGACGTAGAGCCGGAGTTGAAGTACACCCAAAGCTCATTGAGGTTGCGGAGAGTGCCGGGCGTCGTCTACACAAAGCCCGTTCGGCTGCTCGCAGCACTGGTCGAAAAGTTACTGGGTCTTCATGGGGATGGAGTGAGGACAAATGGGATACTGAATACCTTTATCCAGTTCAGATTGGTGGTAAGAACGGCAAGACGTTTCGTGCCAATATTGGTACTGCTGCCGCAGATTTGTGAGTCATTTTGTACTTCCAGTAAACTATGGGTATTTGCTAACATTCACCAAGTTGGTGCCATTCTTCCGCACAGCCTCCTGAACAAAACATTGGGTACACCTACTACGAAATCAACCCCGCTCACCAGAAGGTCGGCTCTAACTATTCGGTTGGATACAACGGCGCTGAAATAGCAGATTCTTACGGCAATGCGTATGTCGAAGATGTCACGATCGGCAGTATTACCACCAAGCAAACCATTGGCGCAGCCAGTGGCATATCACAAACATTCCTATCAGACAAGAATATGGACTGCCTCATCGGTCTCGGCAACAGCACTTACAACAGCATCGGTCCTGAATACGAGAACAATTTCTTCGACAACATCAAGAGCCAGCTTGCCAAGCCTGTGTTTGCCTATGCCGAGAAGAAGGGCGGAGCCGTTTTCGACTTTGGATTCTTTGACCCAAACCAGTATACTGGCAAGATTGCCTGGACCGACAACTCACCCGAGGAAGATTGGCCTGCATACGCCTTCTACGGCGATGGCTTCAGTCTTTTCGACCCCCAGGCCAAGGTCACCCCGAGGAAGATGTATATCCACCTCGATGCCTCCACTACCCTTTCCTACACCGACCCCGATATCGTCACCGCGTGGTACAAAGCCGTCCCCGGCTCAAAGTACGATGATGACCAACAGATGCACAGTATCCCTTGTGACAGCAAGCCCGGCGGCTTCACCGTCGTCATTGCCGGTCAAAAGTTCTTCACTCCTGGTTCGCAACTCGTTTCCATCCCCCTTGACAATGAGGGCAAGATGTGCCTCGGTGGTCTGCAGAACATTGGTGGTGGCGTCGATTTCAGTCTCTTCGGCACCACGTGGCTAAAGAACAAGTACATCATGCACAACTTTGCCAATCCTAATGCTGTTAAAATTGGGTTTGCCATGCAGCCCGGTGCTACCCACTAAGCGTTTTTCGCCTGACGCGTAGCGGGCACGAGGGCGTTTAATGTATATATGTAGTGTGCGAGCCCAAACGCTCAGGCATTACTAAGAGAAAAAAAATACGAGTAATTTGTTTGGTAAATAGACTAGAATATAACGGCTTACCACCTTGATCTAAATTTCAATTACATGCCATTAGAAACGCTGTGACTTTCAAGCCAAACAACTTATCCATCTAGTTTCCTAGGTACACTCACCCAAACGACACCCACCACACGTACTCCAAAAGCACAACCTCCTTCCTTCACGCAACCTACCTCAGCATTCTCCATAAACACCACCTCAACCTCATCTCTTGCATACCTTCTCATCCGACCAGAGAACCTTCAGCGCAATTCTGACACCCAACACCGCATTAAACATACAACCCATCTCACATCCAATCCATTGCTTTCTTTTTGTTTAAGCTTTTAAACCCCCTCATCGCTTAATGTATAGCCAGAATATTCCACTCAAATCACGCTTCTAGCGTGCGGCGCTGGTGTACCGGGATAGGGGTGTGGGACGTCAGGGTGAGAGTTGATGTCGGACATACTTAGGGCAAGACCAGGATGTATCTATATAATTTCAGCTTCGCTGCGATGCGACGGCCAGGCTATGGAAACGGTGTCGAATGGGAAGTGCATTGTAATGCGCACAATGCTGCTGTAACATATATGGTGAAGGATAATATGATTCCGCCTGTGTAGCAACTCCGTTCCCTCCCCTCTTCCTTGAGATGTGATTATTGCACAACATCTTATTATGGAGACACCCCAGATTGTCTCTTCCACTTTCGCCACATCACATACGACATAGTAAACGATCCAACTCCACAACATCCACAAGTCGCTAGGTTTCCCTTCATCTCACACAACAAACAAAGAATAATGTCAGAACTAAACTTGATAACTTGATTGAAAGATATTACATTGCTAAAAGGTATACAACATTTTTTACACATTCTGCTCGTTGATGAAAAGACCAGCCATTCCCATACCAGTACCAATGCACATACTGGTGAGAAGAACCTTCTTCTTTTGCCTCCTGCACTCGCTGAGACCAGTGACGATTTGTCGGGCACCCGTGCATCCAAGAGGGTGACCAAGGGCGATGGCACCACCGCGGACGTTGAGCTTGGAGTGGTCGATCTTGAGGGTTTCGAGGCAGTATACGGCCATGGATGCAAAAGCCTCGTTGATCTCGATGAGGTCGACGTCGTCGAGGGTGATGTTGAACTTGGTGAGGAGCTTGGGGATGGCGACGGATGGGCCGATACCCATGATTCTTGGGGCGAGACCGGCGACGGTGGCGCCGATGTACTTGGCCATGATGGGCTGGCCGAGCCTCTCGGCGGTGGAGCGCTTCATGAGGAGGATGGCGGCGCATCCGTCGGTAAGTTGGGAAGAGTTTCCAGCGTGTGACTTGTCGCCGTGGGGCAGGAAAGCGGGCTTGACCTTCTGCAGGCTCTCGAAGGTGGTGCCAGGTCGGATACCCTCGTCCTTTGTGAGAACAACAGTCTTCTCCTCGCCAGTTTTGGGGTCCTTGACGACAGTGGTGATGGGCACAATCTCGTCGTCGAACCAGCCAGCCTTCTGGGCAGCCTCGGCCCTTCGGTATGACTCTGCGGCGAACCTGTCCTGGCGCTCACGCGAGATGTTGAAGTCGTTGCCGACGTTCTCTGATGTCTGGCCCATGGGCTGCATGCAGTCGGATGCCTCTTGGTTCTCAAGGACCTCGGCGACGAAGGGCCTCTCGAGCCTGTCTCCACCCACGGTCATACTCTCGGCGCCAACGGCCAGACCAATCTCGATGCTGCCGACGGCGATCTGGTTGGCAATGTCCTGCACTGCCTTAAGACCTGACGAGCAGAAACGGTTGAGGGATGATCCAGATGTGGTGTTGGGGAAACCCGCGGCGAGCATGGCGGCGCGGATGTAGTAGGCAGCCTTTGCATCGGAGACGTTGCCCAGGCAAATGTCTTCTACAAGGGCGGGATCGAGGTTGGCCTTTGCAACGACCTGCTTCAATGTCTTGACGAGGAGGCCATCGAGTGTGGTGTCCTTGAAACCACCCTTGTGGGCCTTTGTGAGAGGTGTGCGGATGGCGAGGGTGATGACAATATCGTCGGGGTTCTTGGTGGTGCTATCGAGACATTGTCAGCAATTGTTCTTGTAGTGGCGCATCGTGTTATCTTACAGTGCCGCCAGACCGCCGGTTGAGGGCGTCAGTTGGTTGACAATGGACTTGAGACGGTCAGCCATGGTGATTGTGTGAAAGAAGGATGGGTATAGAAAGTGGATGACAAGGTAAAGACAAAGACTGAGGCGATAAGAGAAAGAGACGGATTGTCGAGGCGAAGACGCACCTCTTAACTCGACTTGTGGGGCGTGCGCGAGAGCGTGTTGAGCCGAGGATCTCGGAGGCACTTCGCCTAGTCACGTTGCCGTCGGTAATCAGTACCATGGCAACTCCGGCTGCCCCATCAATGTGCATACTCCATACCGGGTATAGTAATCATGATATCGCCACGGTAGTTCCAGAGCCATGGTAATAAACAGTCACTCCCATGCAGCCATGGCCGTGTGGGACTTGTGTGGTCCCTTTTGGGGAAACTGGAGGCGACGGCAACTGCTGCTCTGTCGGCCAACTGCTCACGGCTCTTCCCGCCTCCCCACATTTTGCCACAACCATCGTGCGTGGAGACATGGCGGCCCACTTCCCCAACCTCACATAACCACTGCTTACCCAGCCATAAAATATGACTGGTGGAGCTGACAACAGGATACAGTTCCAGGGTTGATTAGGATTGATGGACCCGGTACCAGATTGCTTGTTCCAACCTCAACCTTATGCGATATCAACGCCGCAAGTCTGCACATCTCGCGCAACCCGAACGCCGTCTTCTCATAGTTCAAAGAAAGAAAAGAAAAATTCAATGGAATTATCAACATGATGAATTTGGTACCAACTCTAGAATTACCGCCATGAATCGTTTCTCCTGGAAAAAAGCCCTCCCAATCCCCCACCCCACGCATCCAAGCAAGAAAATATCACAGTAAAATTATACACCCATCCCCACATCCTCCTAAATAAAAGCCGCTAACATGGCTCCCAAGAATGCAACTCCAGTACCCACATCCAGACGTCCCGCACTACCAGTCATATTTCCCATGTTCATCAGGCCCATCGCACTGCCCGTCGACATGGGCATAACCATACCATCCGACATGGTCATCATACCCGATCCCATGGACCCCGACATGGCCGCTCCAGATGTGCTAGCCGGCGCATCATTCCACGCCATAGTAACATCTGCCCTTGACGGTGTAGGCATCGGAACCATGGACATGGACATGGACACGGACGACATGGATGACATGGACATGGACATTGAGGTTGTTGCTGCCGAGGAAGAAGTAGACGATGCCGTCGACTCTGCGAGAGCGAGGGGCGCAAAGAGCGCAATAGCAGCGACGGTGAAGCTTGAAGCGAGCATTTTCGAAATATTCCGTTTCCTTGATTTTTTTTTTTCGTTGATGTTGTAGAAATGGTAAAGGCGTTGAGTCCGGCTCGGTAACAAGAGTGAAATTACTTTGGAAGAATATAAAAAAAAAGGTATATACACAGATCGACAAGGTGAAGATGCGGGAAACACTCAGAAGCGGGGCGGAGCAAAAAAGGGGAAAACGGAGTATTCTGGGGTTTATATATATATTTTTTTTGCAAATATACGGGCAGACTCGCTTCATGCGGTTTGCAGGTTTCTTGCTAGGCGATTCGCAACCAATGCTATGGAGAGTGCTACATGCCACAAAACGCGTTGCACCTGTCAGTGTTTCCTCCTCCTTCCTTCCTTCCCTAGCTTGTGCATGCTAACTCTCCAACTATGATTAATGTCCCGGAAACCACGCCCTCCGTTTTGAATAACGTGACTGTGAACACGCCGTTTCAACCGCCCGTCGGAACGCTGCAGAACCGGACCCACTCCCTCCCAAAGAAAAAACACAGAGAGGGAGGGTGTGCGCTCAAAGCATGAGAAGGGACAGTGTATGAAAGAGTGTTTCGGCGGCAGTGGCGTTGGGGTGCCCCGAAACGGGGGCGGTGGTGGTGGTGCGGACTAAACTGTGTGCGGATTGGCTGAAACGGAAGATGCGTGTGGTTGGTCCGCGTCCGCGCGTTGGTCTGGAGTTTGTCGCGACTTCACTTGCTTGCGCGATGGGAGGATATGTGCGAAAACGCTGGTTTTGCGCAAGTACATGTGGTTATCGGGTGGGAATTCGGGTATAGAGGGCACGGTGAGGTTGTTTGGTTGGTGGGAGATGTTGGTAAAGGGTCATGTGTGGGTGCGGGTGTGTCTGTGTGGGGAGGACAAGTGACAGATTGAATAAGCGTGAGACTGATGCGCGACTGACGTGCTGGAGACATTTATTGTGGCAGCTCTATTGGAATACGGGATTTAGCGCTTTTCTGGGGTGATTACTCGACGGTTGTTCCGGATCGGCGGTTTTCGAGGTTGGATGAGGCGCGCGATGCGCGGTGGAATCTCATGTTTAAGGTATCAAGGCAGCGCGGATAAACAAGCGGAAAGATCGCTTTGTATACGAACTGAGGGCTGTCCGCTCTCCCTGTATGTTTCGCTGGAGCTCGTCAGTGGAAGTGGTAAAGACGCCGGTATGGTAAGGCAGTGCGATGACACTGGAACTTGACATTTGACTGCTGGAGTGTTCGAGTATTCCTCCAAACTGATGGATACTCCTATGCTTCTCTCATTTCCTATTCTCTGCAATATGTGTCGTCGGCCATGCATCTTTCCTACGCCAACTTGACTTGTCTCGCTTGTCGAGCCACCTACTCGTCTTCTCCAAGTCAGACAAAACTCCATTTTTTCTGGTCGCCCTTTCTCTCGTAAATTATTCTGATATCTATGTTGCCTCGCCTTGTTGCTAAGTCTCCCATTCTGGTGCGCAATCAATTTGTGCGACAGTCACTAACAATGTCATTGTCCTCTCCCCACCCCTCCCCGACGGTGCTCTGGTATCCTCCTACTCTCTCCATTCTAATCTTAATTATCATCTCCTACGTATCCATTCGTTGCGAAAAAAGATCTGTTCATTCGTTTCGGTGAGAAAACTGATACACGCTCGTTGTTGAGGCGTCTCGGTCGATATAGTCTGAACGGATCTCGACGACGCTACGCGCAAGTCAGTGGCGCATCACAGTCTCTAAGATATGAACATGACCTTTGCAGAATTGGATACCTTGAAAGTTGACAACAGTATTATCACGGATAATATCACTCTCAACCATACGTCTCACGCCAATAGTGACACTCCCAAAGCTACATCAGTCACTGATAATTCCCATATCTCCAACGCAACTGAGCATTGTAAAGGTCATGTAGCATAATTTCATTGTGCATAATCAAACCACGTACAAAAAATGCAAGGTGCATCTCGACCTTGCACTCTGTTGCCCTGATCGGCTAGGCAGGTACCATAGGGCTGCAGAAACAAAGCCCAGCTCCATCACCAACCCACCCTGCTTATCTCCGATACCCCACAAACCATCATTACTCCCTTTGCACCTGACGGAATACAAGGCAAAGGTGGGTCCCAAGCACCACGTGGGCGAGCCTAAGGCATCCACAAATGGTACTCGCGTGGAGGTGAAAGGGACGGTTCCCAAAGCGACGGGTCAAGATGGTGCCCGTGATCTTCGATCCGCTACCTTAGCGCCCGTTTCCCCGCAAGAACTCTCAGATCTAACCGCTCCGTTTGTTTGCCCTGGTGTTTAGACCAACCTTGGCTACCGTCTTTGAGGCTCCAATGCCTTGGCAGAAGGGCGTAGAAGCCTGTATGGGGAAGGGGGACGGAGACTAGTGGCCGCGCGCAAGGTACCAAATCGATGCAATTGGGTGACTATTGTCCGCGTGCGGAATTAATCTGCTCTATCGCCTCAGTCTGTGTCGTCACAAAAGAATCAAACGCTCACCATACCGGCCCAAGCGCCCTGCTATCAAGATGTTCTGCTCTCTATAAGATAATCTTCCACTTCAACCAATTGCCTCACAACAACTCTGGTTGAGTCGCTCAAGACACTCAAGAAACCTCTCCTGGGTAGGTACAGTCTTTGGCGTTCTTTTATTTGGCGTTGTTTTCTCCATCTCTTTCAGTTTTCGAGACAACAATTGGGAAGAATTGTTGTCATTAACCACCAGAAGCAATCATGGCAGCGATTGCAAGAAACAACGCGTTTGGTGCTGGGGCTCCCAGCTGGAATCTCTCATTCCCAGCTGGTGAGATTACTGCGGCGGAAATCACAGCCTATTGTCCACACTGGTTGAAGTCCATCGATGTCATCAGCCGGTTTCTATCTCACGGAGCCCGCACGATTCACATCGCGGCATTGCTCAACGAGTTCCGTTCCTTCCCTGATAATAAGGTTTTCAACACCAACTCGACTTTGGTGATGATGTCTTACGCCATGCGCAAGGCAGGTTTCGATGGATGGTGCGTGATGAAGCACTTTGACTTCTCACGCGACCACTTCCTCCCAGAGAGCGGACTGAATGTCACAAATTTCCGCACACCCTGCATGATCCAGCCCAGGGATAAGGGTTCGGAGGCATCAAGCCATGCTACCAACCAAGAGGTGCGCCCGGTAGCATTCAAGGACTTGGCCAAACATGTTAAGAAGCACCCCTCCGGAGACGACGCGCTCGACCTGGCAAGATGCGTGCAATATGCAGTTGAGCACCCGGACGAGGTATGGCTGTTCCCAACAGACTTCCAACGCCTCACTGCACACCTCGGTGGACCAGCGACTATCACGCCCAACCATCTCGACGAGGAGGTGTTCGCTCGCCGTGACGACGTCAAACTTCCAACTACCAAGCGCAAGAGGTCTGCTGCCATTAAGCCGATCTCTTCAAACAAGCAGTCCACCAACAAACAACCTACCAAACCGCGTAGGTTTATCCATGTCGTTCCTCAGTCAGGTCCCTCGAAGCCGCGAAAGCGAGGAAACGACCACCTCTCCAAGGACACCAACTCTGCCGAAGAGTGTGAGGCTGGTCACAAAGTACGTACAAGGACTGATATCTCCAACTCAAGTAGCCGCTAACATCATGTCAAGGAGAACGAACCATTCGGACAGCTTGCCAAGAAGCGCAAGCTCTCTCGTGGTCGTGCAACCTACAACGCATTCGTTGACGACGAGGAATTTCTCCCTGCTGAGGTTGAGGCCAACGAGTACATTCCGGTGGGGGACTTCAGCGCGCCTGAGCAAAACGAGCAGCCTCAAAGTGAGGTTGAGAGGAGCATCGCTCTCCGCAAGGCTCGCGATGGCAAGCGGGCGGCTGTCGAGCCTGACACTGCTGCTCCCCAATTCGATGTCGAGCCCAATACTGGCTCTCTCCAGACTGACTTCTTGGACTGTGAACCAGTCCTCAACTTTTCCCCCCGCTCCAATCATCAAGGCAATCTTCCTTCCAATTTCAGTCAGCAGCTTGATAGTGTATCTAATCACGCACAAAACTCCAATGTTGCATCCGGATATGGTCAGATGTCCAGTGTTCCAAACGTCTGCAATCAGCAGTCCGGCTTTGCGCCTATTCACCGCCAACAGCCAGGCTCCACTCCCACCTACGGTCAGAATCTTGACATCCCATCTACTTATATTCAACAATCTCATCACCCATCTGGCTATGATCAACAATCTTCTTTCCCATCCGTTTATCCTCAAAAGGCCGATCTCACAAAGGGCTATGGCCAGCAGACGAACTTGCCATCGACTTCTGCCCAACAGCCCGTTTTGCCATCCAATTTTGGTTGGCAGTCAATCTCGACGCCCAATCACACTCAGCAGTCTTTTGCATGTGGGAATGGTCAACCACTGAGCTTTACAACCGGGTACAGCCAGAACACTGATGCCGCATGCAACGCCAACCAAAAGTCGATTTTTGCGCCCGGCTATGATCCGATGGAACCCAACTTCACGCCCAACTTTGATGCATCGCAGTTCGAATTGCCGCTCAGCTTCGTACCCAATGACTACCAGCAACCATTCAGTCTCCCTTCCACCTTTGCCCAAGCCCCGTTGGACTTCGCATCGATTTTGGATCCAAACACATCAAGCTCCGCACCAATGCTCAACCAAATCCCATTGGATTTCATTCCCACTTTCGAACAAAAACCATCCGATTTCAACCCCAGTTCCGCTGCTCAGCAAGTTGAACTTCCCAAGTAAGTCCTCATCCACCGCGTCGCCTCTCTTCCACTCACTAATGCTTCTACTTCCAGTCTTGTTCAGCAATACACACCACCATACGAACAATCTTACGAAAAAACCGACACCGCCGCCGCCGACCCCCTTCCCGCCTTCCTCGCCCCTCCCAACCTCCCAGCCAACCGCCTCCAAATCACTGGCCAAACCCTCCAAAAATACGCCCTGCCCCCCTTCCGCTCCCAAAGCGACATGTTCACGACCGCTTTTCACTACAGGCGCTTCGGTAACGCCCGCCAGTCCGCTCCGTACCGCGAGCTGCACGCCTTGTGCTGTCTCGATAATGACGACATGGGAGACTGGGCGGAAAACATCCGCTTCGCCAAAGAGCAGTGGGTCTACTATGGATCTATCTGGACCGAGTTCCCTGGCCATCTTGAGAAGATCAGGAAGGCCCGGCAGGAGTGGGGCTGGAAGAGTACGGAAGCTATTCGCGCGGATGCGCTGAACGGCTCTCGGGCCACGTAAAAGCTTGGGTCTTTTCTTCTTTTTTCCTTTCTTTGATTGTTTGGTCACAATGTTTCCCAATGTTTTTCCTATCTTTCTCCCGTCTTGCGATTTGTACAGACGATGACCACAATGTTTGGTTGGTATATCTTGTAATGTTTTCCTTTATCTCTTTATCTTTTCTCCCGTCTTTGCGTTTTGCAAGGACGATGATTACTATGTCACGCTGCCATGGCGGCGTTTTTCTTATCTCTCTCATGAAAGTTCTCAGGATATACTTGGTGTTTGGGGCGTTGGATACATGGAAGGGAGATTCACTATCTGATGTTTGTTTTGTTTTGTTTTGTTTGGCGATGGGTGTAAGGTATTACCCTTGGGCGACATGGATTTTGAGCGATATGATTTTCGAGCGGTTGGATTTTTTAGCGACTGAATTTCTGGTGATCTTTTTGTGGATTTTTCTTCTCCGTGAGGAGATGTTGTTTTGAATTTTGAGATACCCAAGGGGTTTGCATAGCGATAGCTACTGGCATTTGTTCTTATTCACAATGGAAAAGCTTGAATTTACATTAACAATTGAGTAATGGAGCACTCAACTTCTGAACCAAATCTTTCCCCACCCTTATGTGTCTCATGATTTTATCCTCTCTTCTTTTTCTCTCCCTTTTCCTTTTCCCTCATTTCCCTCTTTTCCCTGTCCCTCTTTTCCTTCTCCCTTTTTTCCTTCTCTTTCTTTGCCATCCACTCCCAGTGCTTCTGCTCCTGCTCCTTCTGCCTCCGCTCCTGCTCCCTCTTATCCGTCTCTATCTTTTCCCTCTCCAACTTTACCATCCACTCTCGGTGCTTCTGTTCGTACTTCCTCAGCTCTTGCTCCCGCTCCTGCTCCCGCTCCTGCTCCCTCTGCATCTGTTCCCTCCGGCTCTGCTCCCACTCTCTCCTCCTCTTGTTCCACTCCAACCGCGCACATCTCTCTACGTCCTCTGGCCACGTCGCAAAATGCCACCAATTTTCCTTTGCAAACGCAATCGCAAGCGCAAGCTCACACTCTCTATCCTGCGGCATCATCCGGTTTGCGAGTAGGCTCAGCAGATACGGGTCTGGGCGCTCGCCGCTACGCCAGTCAAGAGGCATCAGTTGGAGGACTTCCAAGTAGTGGCGATAATTTGCGCTGATATCTGCGCAGAGTTCTTGTCTGCGTGCTTTGCGGCGTTGGCGGAGTTCCTCATCGGTGGGAGCAGTGGGAGTAGTGCGGGCGTTGTGGGTGCTAGTAGGAGGATTGAGAGTAGCGCGGGAAGTATTGACAGCAGTGGGAGTGGTGTGGGTGGCATCAGGAGTATTGCAGATGGTACTTGGGCAAGAGGAAGCATTGGATACGGTGCGCGGGGAGTTGTGGAATGGGGAGAGATGCCCCTGTGAGGCCCTTGTAGGTGTCTGGGGCTGAAGAAGGGTCGAAAAACCTCCTGTGGAAGGATTGTAGTGATCAGATAGAGCAGGAGCAGTATTTGAGGGATTTGGTGAAATAGTCCCTGGACTCCGTGGTGGCTGTGTATGCCGAGGTTGAGCGACTGAGAAAGAACCCTGCGTGGGAGTAACGGGGTGACTTGGTCTTGGAGATGTAGTAGAAGTCTCCTCTAAAGGTTCTGGCGTGCTGACTGTAGGACCTTCTGATAGTGAGCAGGGCGGAGACTGATTTCTTTCTTTGGTGGGTATAGGCCGAAGTATTGGGGCCATTATTAGTTGATGTCAAGGCTGGTAGTACAAATATCTTCGATTACGGCGATGATTTGATGTAGCTGCAGAGATATTGGATGTGATTGGGAGAGCGATAGTGTTGCTCTAATGTCGCTGTTGATAACGTCAGAGGGTTTTTGTGTTCTTCGCATGCTATACTGTTGAGGGCGAGAGACACGCTTCCCTGCTTGGATTGAATACCCATGTTGCTGCCATTCCCGGAAAATTTTGTTCTGCATATTGTGAACTTGCACCTGTCGCACCTGGTTACGACTGACTTTGCTGTTGTGAAACTGCCTGAATAGTTGCCAATTTACCTGCTTAGCGCCTACCTTTACTCAGTCACTCTTTCGCTTCGAATGTCATGCTGAGGCTATAGGGCGAAACGTCGCCCAATCAACGATCCAAACAGGAAAAGATACATAGAAAGTAAAAACAGCAACACACTTAATTATACTACACATCTGGGCAAGAAGGTCTCATAGCTTAACCTTCTTCTGATCCCTGATTTCCTGAGCCATTCTGACCATTGCATACAAGCTCTGCAACCTTGGCATCTCATAGCCTCTCTCCCTAGCAATCCTCAATGGATTCCCTAGGATCACCTCAATCTCCATCCTCTTTCCCGCTTCCCAGTCGATTGCCATACTTGGCTTGCTGCCACTCGTATTCTTCAACGTAGACTTGATGATTTGGTCAGGGGTGGCGAATTCTTTGGGCATGGGCTGGCCGAGAATCTTGGGTGCGGTCTCGAGGATTTCGGTCATGACGCCTTTGAGATGGCGCTGGACTTCGGGGTCTTGCGACATGAGATTGTTTGGAGAGCAGAGGATGAGCACAGAAGTTGGGTTCATGGACGCATTGATGGCGATTTTGTGCCAGCGGACCAACTGGAGCTTCGCATGTGAATAAGCTTCGGCGTCTTTAATGCCCCCCTCCTTCAATAGCGCGATGAAAGCGTTGTTCTGTTCAATGATACGTGAATCAGTGTCTTTGGCTGCTCCCGTGTCGAGATGGGGTAGGTAGGGTCCACTGTTAATGCGCGTCCATCTATTGTGCTTGATGAGACCAGGTTCTGGCTGTGCACAGGTTGCTATTGTGACAGCCGAGCAAATGGCGGCTTGTGGGAAGCGCTTTGCATATGGGTCCTCGACGCCCAAACCGTTTTGTATCAACACAATGGCAGTCTTGTCGCTAACGAGGCCTTCCAATATCGCCGAGTCGTCGCTTACGTCCGGTAGCGCCTTGGTGCTCACAACGACATAGTCCCATTGGATTGCGCTCTTTCGCGCTTCTTCGGGGTTGGGAAAAGTGTGCGCTGGGGTGAACGTGTAGTCGCCATACTGAGGAGACGTGACTTTGAAGCCACCCGCTTTGACCGCCTTGTAGTTGGAGCGGCAAATCACCGAAACCGAGGTACCAGGTACGAGTGCGAGGCGCGATGCATAAAAGGCTCCGATGGCGCCAGCGCCGACTATGAGGATGTTTACAGACATTGTGAGGTAGGTTGTAGTAGGGGAGCTGTCGACGTCCGTGTCTGAGGCGCGGGAGCTCTGTCTTATCGATAAGTACGAACGAGCTTAGCCTCGGTATCTTGACCCGGTAATTTAGCCAAGCTTCGATAACGACTATGCAAATGTTAACTGCCTCTTGTTCTTTGCCAACATGTGTCTCGTCCCTGAAAAATTCAAGATACTTGAAAATCACATCACTGGCTCAGGCGGTTCCATTTAGTTTCGAAGCTTTCTGGCATCTTGGATTTGTTCTTCAATAATGAGCTGAGATGGTGATTGAAACACCAGTTTGAAGCTAGGGACGCTACAGATGTGCATCACCAAGGATTCTTGTTTCATCACCTTGAACTTCCATTCTCTCCAGTTCTCATGGTAAGCCTGTACAGTTTCAGAGAGCTGTTCTTTGATAACGTTCCTCCCACTCTCACCTCATTTCAGTACAGCGGGTCTCAGCCAGGCTTCCATGGTATTGGACTTGTTGTTGGCTCTGACTCGCGCAGCTGACGGTTATTCCTGGACCATAAGGGCTACGATTAGAGTTTTCGTGTCGGCTTCTCGGGAAGTTTTGCAGTTTTACAAGTGAAGTCTCTTTGCGCAAATATCATGGATGAGAGCGGAGTACTTCACAAACGTTGAGGAAATGCTCGTGAATTGGCGACATGTTGTTTCTCCAGTTCTTCATCGGATACATTTTCTTACGGAGAAGTGCTAATGCATATAGCTCAATATTTACTATCATCTTCTCGACATTGATTGGCAACAGAAAGAGTAGTCGGCCCACTTGCACAGCAAAGTCTCTGATACAATTCAAAACTGCGAGAAGCATGGTAGAACAATGTTCAATGATTGACATGTCAATTTGTAGGTGAGTGGGAAAAAATGACAGTTGTGTCATATAAATTCAGCATCTAACCAGCAATGTGGTAAGGGTATTCAGTGAGCTACCATGGCTTGCAACGTGACCAAGGTCAACACATTCGATTTTGATCTCAATTAATCGTCGTTGGACAAACGGACGTCTAATCCTCTGATCAAACAACACAACGATATTCACTGTGAACGAGAGAGCTAAGGATACATGGGCAGGGCTAGACGATATTCTACCGGCGTCAGTGACAGTTCACGATCTTATTAATAACCTTCCCACAGAGGCCATGATAATATGGTACAAACACCCGAGACAAGTATTGGCGCGCTCCATTACTGCAACATTGCTGAGCAATAAGAACTTCTCCAGCCATCCTCGGGATACGCGGGCCAATTTTTCAACATCGACAAACGGAGCGCTGATAACAGGTTTCTAATCTGCATTCCACATGGCTGTCACAAACGGGCAATTCATAGACCATTCTGAGATATGTTGCTCCCTTCACTTTCACCACCTTACCCTCATCGACCGTGAGTCAAAGCCACAGTGACCGCACACGCACAAACGCCACCGGCTTCCCATCAAATACGTCACATCTCCGAGTCTCTTCTACACCTTTCCATGCACCAATTTTCCACCAATATGTCCACCAATATGTCCGCAGTCAAGTCAGAGAACAACGAGTGGTCTCCCCAGACCGTACTCCAATCAACCCACTCGTTTTTTTCTGAAAACCCTCCGTCGCTCATGTTGGAGAACCGAGAGCCTTCACACGATACTTCTTCAGTCCTAGCCGACGAGGTGGGAGACGTGAGGCCCTGCAACCGAGCAATCAATCTCGGATTACCACCTCTTCGCATGACCAGCAACGCTGCTCAGAACAACTATATTCGCGATGTCAGACTGGCCGATTATTTCTCGCCGCATCTACGGTAAGACATTCTTTTCCATTTCGTTACCCCTTCCTTCTCCGCAAAGCACGATATCTATTGTGAAATCCATGTCCGCTTCCATTTCGAGATCCATGTCCGATAACGTCTATGCTGGCTTTTCGAGGTTCGATCATTGACGGATTGGTAAATGATCGAATGCATACAAAGTAACAACAAAGGCAAAGTATAGAGTGTGGGAGAGCCGTGTTTTCATGTCCATAGCGACATCAAATTTGCTGCCAAGGGCGGTTGCCATGGCAGTCTGCAAACAAAAGAGTACTAACCAGCCCAATAGCGGTGGACAGCCTCCTGCCTACCATGCTATGAACGGACAAGGTAAGTCTTCTCAATTCGTATCTTCAGCAAGACTGACGTTTCACAGAGCAAACTCGCAACCCGTCGGTGCCTCAGCATAGCTCCCAGAACACGTCTCAGAAAATGGCTCCAGAGATGATCGGTCTCAAGAAGAACCTCAGCACCTTCAACCAAAACGCCAACAACTTCGCGGTCGTCCAGGCACACCTGTTCAACTCATTGAATGCACGCCTCGTCAAAGCTGAATATGAGCGCGACTGTCTCCGGGCAGCCCTCTCTCAGTACCAACACCAGCAGCCCGGCAGTCGTATGAGCACACCACAAACTGCTCCTGAGTTTGGCAGTCGCATGGCTACACCACAAACCGCCCCAGAATTTGGCCGTGCATCTCTCTTCCGCGACGACGGCGAAGACGCACAAATATCCAGTCCCATCAACACTCCATGCAAGCCACCCCAAGAGCCCAAGCACTTCTACAGCAGTCCCATCCAACACAACACCAGCTCCACCCCCTTCGGCTCCAAGCTCACCGGCAATAAGAACCAAAAGAAGCAACAAACCAAAGCCCGCAAAGACCTGAAAATCAAAGTCCCCGGTCAACTCACTGTGGGCAACCTGACCACAGGTCACCACCACCACCACCACCACCACTCCACCACGGCCAGCACGACAACCACGACAACCCTCACCTCCCCCCTAACCCCGGGTCGTATCGGCCCCCCAATCCCCCACCCACCCCGTCCCACAACCATAATCTCCAAGCGCAAAATCCACAACCTGGAAAAACTGCTTCCCCCGGCCACGGCCCTAATCCCGCTCATGCCCCTAACCGACACCGAGATAATCGTGTACTTCTTCCAATCCCTCGCACGCCCCATTGTCTCTCTGCGACTCTACGCGCGAAACTGGGGTCCCTCCAACATCTGCGACACGCTGAACGCGCACCGCGCCATCCAAGGCGGATACCTGCGCAACACGGCGAGCGTAAAGTGCACCACCGCCATTAAGCGCGGTAAGGAGCGATTTGGAGATGCGTGGGCGGATGAGTTGCGCGATGTTTTTGCAAATGCGGATGATATCCACGCGACGGATTTGATGCAGTTGAGTGAGGAGGAGAAGGCTCAAGCGGCGGATTTCAGAGTCAGGGATTTGAGCAGGGAGTTGAAGATGCATCCGAGGGGTGGGGTGGATGGAGGCGTCTTTACCGAGTGTGTAAAGTGGTGTGTGGAGAGGAGGGCCGGGTATACGTTGGGGAATGTGCATGAGTTGGCATTGGCGTTGAGGAGGGGTGAGGAGCCGGATTTGAGGGAGGAGAGTGAGGAGGAGGAAAGTGGTGAGGATGAGGATTCTTGAGGTTTGCTGTTTCGGCTT